GCTACCGGTCACTCTGCTGCCTGAATGAGCCAGGATCAGCTCTGGGGTTTAGGATTTAATTAAATGCCAGTCTCGGGGAAGTTGCAGCCAGATGAGAGCCCATGACAGAGGCATGGTCGCTCCTCGGGGTGGCCCCACAGGCCAGCGGCCGTCTTTGTGCTGGGACTCTGGGGCTACCGCATCGTGCACCCACTCAGCCGCACAGAGGAGCGGTGACACTCGTGGCGAGGGGTGCTCCCGGCGCTGCTGGGAATCTCCGCTCTGGGCGAGACCAGCCTCTGACTGCTGCCTTAAACGGTGCTACACAAACCTGAACCCTCCCGGGTAGATGCTGACAAGCCCCGCAGGCACCATCGCTGTCCAGTCCGGTACAGGCACCCTGAGCCAGAAGAGCTTGTTGGGCACAGTGATCATCCCAGGCAGTGTCACTGCTGGAAAATACTTTCAGGCTTCCGTAGGTAAATCATTCATGGGGCCAAGTGACACCTTTTCAAATTGCAGCATAACTCTGTCAATACTGATTTGCTCCGTTAACTGCTCTCCCCTGATCAACGTAATAAATATTAACTGAGTCGATTTTTAACATGACATTCTCCTTTCTTCAGGTAGATGACCACTGAGAATTGAAAGTCTGGCCTTCTTGTCACTCCCCCTCCTTCCCAGTGATCCTCTTTATTGCAAATTAGTAGGGAGGGGGCATAATTTTCTTCTGGCTAGAAGAAATTGTGATTTGTTGCTCAATTAATTTGGTCCCATGAATCAAACCTGTTTCTAGGAGGGGCTGTGGCCTTTCCTCTTCCCCAAAGGGTTAACAGACCTCGCTGTCCTGTAAAGGAGCAGCTTTTGAGAGAGACTAAATGCGGGAAATAAGTAACCAGTTATAACCTCATGCACGTCTACCTGTGGAGATCGCTAGAGGGAGGCCTGTGGCTGTGTCTTCTGGACACAGGAGCGTCGAACTGAAAAAACAGCAGACTACTGATCTGCCCTTTGGAAAAGCAGCAAAGCCTTTCAGCCGTGTTTACATACAGCGTGGCTCTGGGAAGCCTGGACTGACTCCCTGACAGTGGCTTGGAGCTGTACGGGAACCTGGTAAAGCAGTTCTGCACGTGTCCATTTGCCGTGGGTGACTGGACAGGGCATGTGAGTTCCTGATAGCCAGCAACCTTCCTGGGAACAAATTCAGGATGTGTTCAACAGAGCTATGCAGATACAAACCCACCTAAGCGAGGGAACAGCTGTCTAGTTATCTGTCAGAAACTTACCTCAGTAGCAAAGACTCTTAGGTCACTCCTGTTCTCACAGTGATTCCCTCTCCTGTCCCTGTCTGGAGTTTCTCACGAGCATCCGCACGGTTCCTCCTAGCCCCGTTCTCCTTCACGCCTTTCAGCGCTGGCCCAGCTCACTACAAACGTATCACTAGCCACTCGGTAGCCAACAAATCATTTTTTAATAGAATACAGTGAGCAGGTGCTTCATCAACCTGCACAGCAGCCGTTGCTTGAAGAGGTCGGTCCCTCCGCGCGAGCCACAGCGGCCCTTGGCAGCAGCACTGCAGTTACCCGCTTTTGGCTGTATTCTGTTCTTGGACGTGAATCTGTAAATAAATTCTAGCAGAGTGAGCAAAACAAGTACTCAACAGAGGAATGTTTGAATTACTATTCTGGGTATGTCCTCTTTAAAGCCGGACATCCATCTTCTCTCCGTGTAATCTTAGCACCGTGTTAGATTATTTTGTAAATGTTAATCGAAGTATGTTTTTTAAAAAACACTGCGAGGCCTCCCAAAATGCGTGGTCTTTGCACTCAGTAAGAGTTAGCGCTGTTAGTGCTGTGGGCCTCTGCGCAGCTGAAGCCTGTGTCCTGATGGGGGTGGATCAGTTCTTCATGTAAAAGAACAGTGAAGATGCACCAGATCCCAGGAATCGGGCAGTTCCCAGGGCTCCTGTCCCTGTCAGCCTCCTGGCAGTGGCAGGTCACCTAGAGAGTCACAGAATGGTTTGGGTTGGAAGGGACTTTAAAGACCATCCAGTTCCAACCCCCCTGCCATGGGCAGGGACACCTTCCACTAGACCAGGTTGCTCAAAGCATCATCCAGCCTGGCCTTGGACACTTCCAGGGATGGGGTGGATAGTAACTGCCAACTCCTGCTGCACAGCAGGAGCTAGCAGCAGCCGAGGCAGCGTGTAGCGCCTTGCGGTGGAGCTGCTCAACAGGGGGAGCAGAAAGCTGGCAGTTCCAAGGCTCGCTCACACGTTTTCACCATCCTCCTCCTCCTCCTCAGCATCCTGAGAGCCTTTGTCCTCCGAGGGCAGGAGAGGCTGGTGCTGACAGGACTGATGCCTGTCTGCGCTCCTCCACGAGACGTGCAGGTCTGCCCTGCCTTGCTGCAGGAAGAGGGGCAGGAGGTCGGGGGCAAAGGGCATGTCCCTGAAGGCGTGCAGGAGGAAGATGCCCGACACAATGGTGAGGAAGCCGCTGATGGTGCCGATGATGTTGTCCAGCCCCATGTGTTGCCACTCCTTGAAGAGGATGGCAGAGCACATCATGACTGCTGTGGTGAACAGCACGTAGTAAATGGGTGTGACCACAGACGTGTTGAAGATGTCCAAGGCTTTGTTCAGATAGTTGATCTGGATGCTGATGCAGATCACCAGGCACACCAGGAGCACCCAGCCCAGTGGTTCTTTTAGGACCGGCTTCCCAGAAAACAGTTCTTTCAGGGCAATCCCCAAGCCTTTGACACAGGACACGGAAAGCGAGCCGATGGCGGAGCAGACCAAAACATAAACCAGGACGTTGCTCTGTCCATAACGGGGTCCGGCCACAAAGATAAGCAGAAGGGAGCTCACCAGGACACATGCAGCAAATACAATGAATCCTTGGGGAAAGAAGAATTAGAGCTCTATCAGAACAGCAGTACCAGTGCCAGATGTAACTGAACAGCGAGTAGAGATGGAGGATGGGTGGGTAACTGCCCCATCACTCTGTCTTTTTAGCCTCCACCTGTAGGGACCAGGGTTGGGAAGCAGAGTTGGTCTCCAGCCTGAGCAAAGCTGCAAAAACCACAGCAGCTCTTCATGGTGCTGATCGCAGCCCCCCAAATCAGCCTGTCAGGGGCTACAGCCCCCCGTGCTGGAAGAGGTGGGGGCACTGCCAGGCTCTACGGCACTAGCAGTGGTGGGGGGCTTGTTGGCTAGGAAAACAAGGGGGCACGGCTCTGCAGGAGGGTGGCAGAAGGCTTGGGAAGCCCTGACCGAACTCTGCGGGCTGCGGTGGGATAGAAGGAAGTGCCACATCACAGGAGTGTGAGGCCCTCATGAGCGGCAGCATCTACCCGTTACCCTGCTCTTCTCCTTGTGCTTCCTTTCTCCATCTCCTCTTTCTCCACCTCCTCTGGCCATTCATGCTATTACTCAGATCATATCCTTGCAACTCGATTTACCCTCTAACACATATCAGGACAACTTGATTGTGGGCATAACTTCTTGAATCGCTCCGATTCCTCCCGAAGTTCCTCCTCTGTCTTCCCGCAGCCATACCACCGCCACCCTCGTGCACAGGAATTCCCTCTCCTACACTGGCATTGGCACAGGCCGACCCCTCCTGCTGACAGCTGCAGCTCATTCCCATGCTCTTCGCTTTTTGCATCCACACCTCAGAGTGCCAAAAAACCACACTTGGTAACTGTTAACTACCCAGGTTCTCATCTGACATGTCCCTTTACATTTTGAGCTAGTTAATAAGGTGTAAATCCTCTGAGCACATGCACTAAACGCTCTCTGACTGTGACTGATCTTTCACATTGAAAGCATGGAGACCCCAGCCTGTTCCCACCACTACAAGATGTCCTGGACACAGGGGATGTTTCCTCCATTGGTACAAAGAACAAGAAACAGCTCAGTCAACCTTTAGTTCAGTCCTTCCCAACCTAGCCAAGTCGTGTGCTACCTTCTACTGTCATTTCCAAGCCCGAAGCCAACAGGACTCCTGTTGAAGTACCTGGATCTTTCAGCTTCTCTGCCATTGACTCCAGGCTGGAAACCTCTTCTTCCTGTGGAGCATGGATCACCATCACCGTGGAGCCCAGGATACTCAGGATGCAGCCAATCTTTCCTTGAACATTCAGCTGCTCATTCAGGAAGGTGGAAGACAGCACTGCACTGAAAAATAGTAGAAAATCCAAACCCAATTAGGCCAAGGGATGGAGGATGAGGGAAGACAGAGGAAAGCAGAGCAACCGCTTTTGCACAAAGGGGTGGTAGGGGAGGTAAGGGTGTTTCTGGGGCTGCTTACCTAACAAGGACACTTAGAGCACCCAGTGGAGTTACCAGCGTTGCAGGGGCAAAGGCATAGGCAGCAAAATTTGCTGCTTCTCCAACTCCCACTGCAAGAAAAACTCTGTCAGGTGAGCATCAAAGTAGGACCAATTCAGCACAAAACAAGCTTGAGTGCGGTCAGAAGAGAGCATGTTTCCACCTGAGCACCCCATGTTTCTCTGAGACCTGTCACGCAACCTGGAAAGACCAGCAAGAACAAGCAGAAGCCTGATACAGGCTCTCTTGGGAAGACAAGGCTCGTGGTTGGTGATCCTTAGTCACACGTGGCTGAGCAGTAACCATAGGAAAATATTCCCATAATGTTCTCAAAGCTGAAAGGAGTTCTGACCTGGTTTGTATTTTTTAGTTATGTTCTTCTCCTGGAACAGCATTTACAGCTTCTTAAAGGGTAAATGAAGTAAAATTGGTTATTAATGTTGAAAAGTGTAAAACAGAGCTGCCAAAATCGCTGCAGCACTAAACGCACGGTGCTGGATGTGCTGTTACAACATCACCTGGGCAGGCCGTTTCAGAAGCGCTTAGCCCAACCCAGCAGACCAGCTCCTCAACTCCTATTTAGCAGGGAAACCTGCTAACGCACGAGACACTTAAATATTTGAGAGTTCCAATTAGATCAACAACACCCTCAGACACTCAGGTAATAAGCAAGCAGCCAAACGCCGATAGCAGGTGGAAGCAATGACAAACACGCTCACGCGCGTCTCGCCACAGTTCCAGATCAGGTACTTACTGCAGAGGAGCCCTGCCCACCACAGCCATTCCTGCAGGTACGCGTGACCTCCTTGCCCTAAGGAAGGAAGGAAGAGCGACAGGAAACCTCAGGTGGAGCTACAGAAAAGACTCACCCTCCTGACAGAACTGCCCGGGAGAAGTGAGCGGGAGCAGCCTGATCTCTACGCCTTGGGTCCGCCTGCCTTGTCACACTTTGGCCTGACCCAGCCATGGGCGAGCACTGATCGTTTTACCCTAAAAGCCAAGATTTTATCCCCTGCTTCTCCTGCGTTTGAAACCAGTTTCAAACCGGGTGAGCGGTTACAGAACACGCTTCTGCTGGCTGCGGGCGATGGCTGGCTACCCCTGCGGAAGGAGGCTATTTCAGCCCAAAGAGCCCCAAAGCACGGAGGGGACAAGGCCCTGGGCTGACGCTGCCTGAAGTGGCCGGGGAATGCTCCTCCGGGGGTGTCAGCCCGGGGGTCGCTCGCAGGGGAGGCACCAGCGCGTTCTGCTCCCCC